ATCATTACATACAATTCAATTACTTTTCCCCAGTGCAAACCTCCTTGGTGGTTATTAAAATAGTATCTAAGTATTTACATCAAAGACTATTAGAATACAATACTAATGTTCTTCTTCTGCCTCCAGCTGTCCTTCTCCCCTGGCTCCGTGCAATCTGCCCCAGCCCTCGGTAGCCCACCATCAGCCAGCCTTCTCAGCAAGCTGCTGACAGGAGATGCTCCTGACGTCCTCGCTTTGATCAAGTCCTACAGGCCCAAGAGCTTGAACCCTCTGGATGAGGTGCCCGCCAAGCGTGAGTACAATTCGTTTACTTAATTTAATACTTTAGAGACCGTATAAAAAATGCTTTTTTGATACACTAGCCTACCTTACAACAAACAGGCCTAGTGACCTATTAGAAACGTAGATCCCAACCTATTATTTGTTCTATAGTCCGTGCTGTTGTCGTCAACGGCCAACACATCTTCACATTCGACGGCCGCCACATGACCTTCCCTGGCAACTGCCGCTACGTTCTGGCTCACGACCACGTCGACAGGAACTTCACACTCATGATGCAGCTCGCTAACGGACAGCCCAAGGCTCTGGTCTTGGAAGACAAGAGCGGCACCGTTGTTGAACTTAAGGAAAATGGACAGGTTCGTTTCTCTGATACTGTAGAACATTAAAATTCATTGATAAAAGATAATTTGCTCTTTATCCCTTTTTAACCGACTTCAAAAAGAGGTTCTTAGTTTTTGACATGAATACAATTATGTATGTATGTGTGCACGATTATCTCGGGATTGGCTGAACCGATTTTGATGCAGTTTGTGTTACATTTAAGAGAAGATTTTAGTTATTAACCGACTTAAAAATAAAGTGGGTTAAATTCGGCTTTTTTGAACATAGTTTATCCTTCTATATAATAATATCCTGATAATCCACAGGTAACCCTGAACGGTGCCAACCACGGATTCCCAGTCATCGAGAAGGATTCGTTCGCTTTCCGCCAGGCTAACGGCCGCATCGGACTCGGAACATTATACGGCTTGATGGCCTTCTGTACCACCAAACTTGAGGTTTGTAATTATTTAATTTTTATTTAAAAATATGAATTAATTTATTTATCACTTTTTAAAGTCTTCAGTTACGTTAATAATCGCTCTTTAAATTAATTACTTTTGATATCTGTACAGGTCTGTTACATCGAAGTGAACGGCTTCTACCTCGGCAAACTGCGCGGTCTTCTCGGAGATGGTAACAACGAGCCCTTCGATGACTTCCGTCTACCCAACGGCAAGGTATGTATTACTTTATCACCTATCTTTCCTTCGATGAAACTTCAATATTATAGATTTTATAGTTCCAGTAAATAACTTAAGAATCCAATAAATAAATAAATAATGTTTGTGATACCCAGAAACCTTTCACTAATCTAACTATACTTTCAGATCTCCTCATCAGAAAGCGAATTCGGTAACGCCTACCGCCTGGTCCGCAGCTGCCCACAAGTGCAGACCCCCGAACACAACCACCACCAGCTCCACCACATGGCCATGCCCCCAGCATGTGAACAGGTCTTTGGAGGATCCTCACCACTCAGGCCTCTTAGCCTGTTCCTTGACATTTCACCGTTCAGACAAGCTTGCATCCACGCCTGCTCTGGCGACTCCAAGGAGGCTCTCCACCAGGCCTGTGACTTGGCTCGTGGTTACGCTGCGCTGGCTCTCAGCAGCATGTTGCCTGCTATCCTGCCCGATGTGTGTGTACAGTGCAAAGATGCTGACAAACCTAGGAATGTGGGAGAAAGCTATGAACTCAAGGTCCCCAACAAGCAGGCTGACATTGTTGTTGCATTCGAAACGACAAAGGTAAGACCACTTTAAAAAAAATATTGAGTTTCTTTTCTGGTCTAATTCTATTTTTTTCTATTTTCCCTACAATACACGTTTGCTTTGACAAAAACCATCGGTATTGAAAACTCTTTCATAAACTATTGGTTTCATTTCTATAAATCTTAAACACATCTAATCCATCCTCTTTCTCCAGGACAACGAGAAGAACTTCAAGGACATCGTAGTACCTCTAGTAGGCCAGGTTCTGGATGGTCTCAAGGCCAAGCGCATCACAGATGTGAAAGTCTACCTTGTCGGCATCACACCCAAGTTCCCATACCCCATCATCTACGACACTGACCGTGAGTTGTACTTAATTGTCTATAGTATAAAGATGATGTTTGTTTATTTAGTACCTGGAAGCAACACTAATTAAAATTTTGTACCATCATATTCTTAAGGATAGGATTTTTGGATTACCTAGACTATTTGAAATTAAATAACAAGGTCCATTTGGAACATCACAAAAGTATTTTTCTCATAATTTGGCGTAAAATAGGTACCTACTAAGTACTTAATTGGTTTATTTTTACCCTGTAGAGAGACTGAAGAACGCCAAGGTTCAGTTCCCTGACGAAAGCCGCTACCAGAGGTTGGCTGAAAAGTTCAAGACGAAGGATGGCCACTACGACCGCTACATCCACGAGATCGCCTCCATCATCGATGCTCTCAGGATTGAGTTCGGTTAGTATAATAAAATCCTAATTATGATTCCTTGATGAAGAAGGCTGTTCATGTAACACCTAACTTTATCAAGCTAAAACATGTTTCATTTAAAGTCGCAGTCAAAATCTGATTGCTGTAAAAAATAATAAACTAATTTTCTGTATTTTGTCTTTCAGGACTTACCAATGTTGTTGCTGGATACCATTCCATCTTCGACCTTCCGTTCCGTGCTGGAGCCGTCAAGCACACCATCAGTGTCGTCGGAGAGGAATGCATCAGCCAGTTCTTCTTGGTAAGTTCCTTCTGAATGTAACGATCCAATAAAAAGAGACCGTCGTGATGTTTAAGTAATTTTAAACTCACATTCATTTATTTTGTCTATCAGTATTTTTCTTTTTTACTGATGTTTATGTCTGTGTCCAGGTGGAAGTAGCCCGCTCAGTCGCGTACAGCCTCGCCTTCGAAAACATGGCGTACTCCCACTCCATCGTCACCGTCACTCCCTCTGGATCCCTCAAGGTCAACGGCAAGAACCCCGCCCAGATTGTCGGTCAGTATACATGGGATACTAATGAACTTCTGTAATTTTCTTATTGAAGTATCAGATTTAACAGTAAATCAACATTTTAAAGATATTTTGCGTTTTCAGATTATCTTCATAATTTTATCAAAGCAGTTACAAATTCTTTTTAACAATTTTAATTTCTTTTCTTCAGGTTACACTGAACGCGCTGTGATCATGCTGGGAGACAAGAAGGTCGGCAAGGATGCTGAGAACCTCAGGGGCTCACTTACAAAGACACCTGACGCCTGCAGGGACTTCGTTGAGTCGGTGAGTTCATAACCAGACGGTTTTATGGTCTTCAGAAAGTGACATACTTTATCTTTTAGTAAGACCAAAAACATTCAAACATATAATAGTATAGCTACTCTGCTCTGGTGTTACGAGTGTCTATAAGCGGCGCCGATTACTACTACCAAGCGATCCGATAGCTCGTTTGTTATAAAAAATATATTTTTTCACTTATCAAAAATCCCTTATATAAAGTTCATGCTCTAACCATGAATTTCTCCCAACAGTCTGACGGCATCGTATTCTCTGCCACGAACTTCCACGGCATGAACCCTGGACAGCAGAAGCAGTTCCTCTCGACTGCAGCTGCAGCCATCAACCAGCGGCTGCTGCACGAGAGCGTCGTGCAGGACTGCTCCTGTGTGTACGCTGACCCATTCAGGGTGCACTCCGTGTGTGTCACCAAGGACAGGAAGGAAGTGGTAAGCATCAGGACTTTGGAGTAGATTAGCTTGTGTTCTGGGTGGGGGAGAATAAGAGGGGATGATACAACTCCTTACTGATCCTAGAAATGAGCTACTTTGCAATAATATTTCGAAAATTGCTATTGTACTTACAACCCAGTTCTAATGTATGTACTAAACTACATTCAATATTAGTGAAATACTGATATCAACCTACCGAACCTATCACCAAAGCGGTAAATTCAATATTTTTCTAATCTAGCAATACTTTTGTCCACAGGCTCGCAGACGGAAGTAATCTGCGCCCGAAACTGTGATCCAATCGTGCCAAGTACCAAATACTCTAGAATTGTAGTAGGCTAGTGGGAGCGAGACGCATATATAGCAATACCTATATATACATCTCACTCGCACACACTCATCAGAACCTTTTACAGAAATATGAAGCAATATAGTTCCATACAATATTTAACTTTATTATTAGTTATAGAGAGTAAAAAATGGATTGACAATAGTTTTGAATTGTTCCATGTTTCTGTGAAAGGTATTAATCATTGAAATTGTCGTTTAAAAAATCAGTTTTGTATTTATGTATGCCGCGGACCATCGTGAGGTATTAATTGATCATGATCGACTCTGTATTAGATATAATAAAATATCTTATTTAAATCATTAAGTATGAAGTTTTTCTAACCTCTCCTTTAAGTAGGCTGTGAACCAAAGAGTATGATCTGAACTGTTGACTGCCTCGTTGGCCGAGTGGTCGGAAGTGCGACTGCCAGGCAGGGTTTGATCTGAGGTATCAGGTTTGACTCCCGGGTCGGACAAAGAATTAAGAGGCTTTTTAAAAAGATCTCAGTAATAGCACGGAGTCTGTTATTGCACCCGGTATATGGCAATAGGCGCACTCTCTATTACATGGGGCTCTTAACATAAAAAGTGAAAAGTGGGGGTAACATTGTACAGCGGCATTAAGTGCCGTAATGTGCACCTCTGCCTACTCCTTCGGGGCTAAAAGGCGTGATGTTATGTATGGTTTAAAAGAACACAATATATTTACAGGAAATAAAAAACGAATTTTATAAAAGAAGCTTGTAATTAAATGCGTTAATAAAAGTAGAAAAATACACTTCAGTTTAAAATCTAAATATATTATTATTTGGTTATCAATTTTAGGCAATTGAATTATATAAAAAACTTGTCGTTATGTCAGTGTTATATATAATTATATGACAGTGTCATATTATAATACCTCTATCGACAATTTACTTTATTATGGCACAGGTGAATTATGACAATGCCATAAGTATACGACAATGACATAATTCTGCGACAAGCTGTTTATAACGCCTAAATTGTATCTTTCGCTCATTTTATCTTAATAAATGGAATGTAAATAATTCGTGTCAGGATTTAACGCTATGTAATTACTAGGGGTCTCAGTAGACAGTCTTGCGCACCCACTTCATACGAGGCCCACGTTGTGACATTATCTTCACTGAGGCACTCGCTGCGCCCTTCACTACGTCTTGTATCTGAAAGATTATGTGGAAGTATATAAGTTTGATTCCTAGGTACAAAGTACGTACGTAGGACTGCACGGTTGGCGCATTGGCTGGGCAACTGGCTGCCGCGCAACGTGTCGCGGGTTCGATTCCCGCACGGAACAATTCTTTGTGTGATCCACAGGTTGTTGTTCCGGGTCTGGGTGTCATGTGTATGTGAACTTATATGTTTGTAAAAACACCCACGACACAGGAGAAAATCCTAGTGTGGGGCAACGTTTTATTAAAAAAAAAAAAATGAGTGGCGATTTCCACCAACTAAATCATCTCTTCGAAGAGTTACTTAGCGTGAGGCAGCACCTAAACCGACCCATTATGTGCACTGTTAAGCGTTATTCCAGTTTGATGAAATGCAATATGTCGTTAAGTGTCACCTATCTTAGCTTAGCGGTTAGGATTCTTATTTCCCATTACAATTCTAATAAAGCACTACTTATTATTTATCATCATCATTTCAGCCACAAGACGATTCCTGAACATAGGCCTCCTCTGATGACTACAAGGCAGGCTGGTTCGAAGCAATAACCTGCAACTAGCAGCTAGTGCGACTTATTGCGATTATTACCTATCTAGATTTCACATAGGTATACCTTTATTCAATAAGGCTTTGCACCACGTATTTCTGTTTATCCTATGAGACCATTTAATTGGGATAAAAAGTATCCAATCACTAAGTCAGGCCATACCCTGCCTGTATACCAAATTTCATCAAAATCCGTTGAGGAGTTTCAGCGTGATTAAAATTTCAACAACTTTAAAAAAGGGACTCACACTCAACATGAGACTCTGCGCGTTGCCCACGAGCATGTCCATCGCCTCCTTATCTTCCTGGGTACCTGAAATATACCAACAAATGTTAAAACTTCATAGTTAATAGGTGACAACTGGGAAAGAACTTTCAAGTAGGTAAAGACTTTTAGCTTCCTCTAGACAAAATTGTAGTCATAAAATTATTATAATCTTCTTTACAGTCTCATTGAATTCTCGATATTTTGACTGATTGAATTTTGGTTGGCGAGCCAACCGACTGCTGCGGAACGTGTTACGAGTCAAATATCGGAACATGTTCAAGTATATATATATATAGTAAAGTCCCCTTTTCAAAGGAAAAAGAAAACAATCGGTAATACAGTGATATACTGAAGTACAGACTTTAAGGAAATAGAAAAATGATAAAAAATATCAACGTACCGTGTCTTCCAAGCGAGAATCCTTTGACAGTGGTCAACATCTTGAGCTGGCCGCTGATGGTAGGGATCCTCTCGCAGGTTTGCAGCAAGTTCTAGAAAATTATGACCAGGGATATCAGATCTATAAATACATAAACGTTTAGAATCGGTTTTGAACTGAGAGAGATAGGGCTATACACCACCATACCGATGTAATCGTGTTATCTCTTTTTCACAGCACAAGCAGTATTTACAGATTGTATACTTGAGAAGACTGATGCGATTATAATTGAATGGAAAACGTGAATTCAAATATTACTTTGTTGTAACAACTACCTAAGCTTTTGTCTCCTTTACGTAACAAACAATGTTTTATGGGATAAGCTGGTAAACGAGCTGACGGATCACCTGATGGTAAGCAATCGGCGCGGCGTCGCCCATGGACACCCGCAACACCGGAGGTGTTACAAGTGCGTTACCAGCCTTTTGGGGATTAGGATTTTGAGGATAACTGGGCCTCCAGTAACCTCACTTACACGTCGGTTTTATGTGAGGACGAGGTATCGCTTCGGTTGAGCCGGCCCATTCGTGCCGAAGCAAGCACTCTCACACTTAGTAATATTCAAAACAACACATTAATTAATAAAATAATAACAAACCGTCTTGATTCTGTGGTCAGTACACTCGTGCGCTAGTTTCTTGGCGAGCCGCGCCACCTCGTGGGACTCTAACACTATCGACTTTGACGTCGCCAGCACTTCGCGTTGCTTGTCTGAAACGATTTAAAATTCAAGTTGTGACTTGTGAATTGTATACGCTATTACTCCTGTATAAATAAACACAAAACATAACACAATAGCACACCTTTTGTCCCTGAAGGGGTAGGTTAGAGGTGCACATTGCGGCACTTAATGCCACTGTACAATGTAACACCCACTTTTCACTATTTATGTTCCCGGGGTGAGCCTATTGCCATATACCGGGCACATTTCCAAACTCCGTGCTACTACTGAGACTTAAAAAACCCAGTAATACATTGCCTGACCCGGGAATCGAACGAGAGATCCCTAGCCCGGCAGTAGCAATGACGAGCACTCGGCCAATGAAGCAGTATAAGTAAACGTTATTTAAAATGTTTTTAAGAAACAATGTAAACCACTCTATAAGGCGTGGGTATTAGAGCAAAATCTCTTAGTATCATAGTACAGCAATGGACTGTCATTAGCTATGATCATGACGATAAAAAATGTGATTTGGAATTGTAAATCCAATGTAAATAGTATTTATTTCAATTAATCCACTTTTGGACAATAGATAGCGCTACTGTCGATAAAAATCTTGAATTTTTCTAAGCTTTAAATTACCCCAGCGCCCTCTAACAGCATATTTTACTAATGTTACCGTTATTCATGAAGTTGGAGAGTTTAGCCATGAGGACTGCCATCCGCTTGGCGACGGCCACGATCTCGTTGTCACGGGACGACCAGTCGCGGATAGCCACGTGCAGGTTCATTGCTTCGTTCTGGTAAAAAATAATAGTGCTTTTATTGACAATCGGCTGAAAATGAACAACTGTTTGAACTGCACAGTGTTAGATACGTCTGATTTAATGCTTATTAGGAACGTCTTTCAACGAAGGGGTTGGATTAGCCATGTCACGGCACAAGCTACTCGTGATTATGAGCCCCCGTCATAGCTTGAAACTAGTCGGGCTCGAATCATTTACGTGAATAAACCGTATCATCAAATTAATATTTAAACACACATGAATACGTACAAAGATTGGTTGGTTCTGCGTGGGCTGTTGCTTGAAGATGGTCTCTCCACATAGTAGGGACTCCACTTCTTCCGTAGCTTGTAGAATCTGATGTAAGAAGAAATAACATTGATGACAGCTTGCATGGTTGGAGCGGTAGGTAGTAGACAATAATCATTCCGAGGCGAGGATTTGATTCCCGTACGAAACAATTGTTTATGTGAAACTTGCCTTCTGCTATTGGACTGAAGTCGAAAGTAAGCACATTTCATAAAATCTGATGGAAATCGTATTCATCTGTTCAGTGTTTTTATCACAATTTTTACCCTTTTTCGACAAACATTAAGCTTTTGGCAGTGCACAGAAACTTCACTGTCGATAGAAAATCGTTGAAGACTAATCCTCCGCTATTGAGCATGGAGAGGTCTAAGTCGAGCAATGGACGAGAACAGGCTATTGATGATGATGAATGACCAGAGTGTTAAGAGCAAATCCCAGACTTGTCACATCACCTCGTGGGTACCAAAGGACCAGTTAAATAGTAAGTTTACCCTGGCGGTAGTGTCCTTGAAGTCTGGCATCTTGCTGGCGCGAGTGTCTGGCGCGGGCGTGGCGGCGGCCAGCTGGTGCTGCGCGGCGGCCAGCGCGCGCTGCAGCTCGGGGTCGCGCCGCGCCGTGCTCGACGACATGCCCACGTGGATCACTCGGTCGGCTAGCCTGGATATATCACGTAATATTTCAAAAACACTCATTCATTTTCAGCTAACAGTCACGAATGTGATCGTGACGCGATCAATCTGAACTTCACACTATAAATCTGTTTAAATATAACGGATTAGGAACTGTTGCTACATACATAACATCAAGCCCTTCATCCCCGAAGGGGTAGGCAGAGGTGTACATTACGCCACTGTACAATGTAACCATCCACCTTTCACTACTTATGTTATGAGTCCCATGTAATAGCGGGTAAGCCTATTGCCATATACCGGGCACAATTCCAAACTCCATGCTATTACTGAGAAATTTTTGAAAACCCAGTAATACTTTGCCCGACCCGGGAATCGAACCCAAGACCCCTTGCCCGGCCAGTCGCACTTGCGAAATCTCGGCCAACGATGCAGTCCGTTGCTACGAGTTACAAATTACGGAGCAAATATTTGTGTAAGCCACATATTGTAGGTCCGGGTCTGAATGTACTGTGTACACAATAGTATGATACTCATACAGGACACATTCAAAGATCCTGTAGGTACCCGCGAGTACATTATTGCCTTACTTGGAGATGGCGGTCGATGTGTGTGCGTTGTGCAGCGGGTCGTTCTGTGTGGAGGACTCCTCGCGCATGCGCTCTATCGTCTCACCTACAAGGTTTGAATTAATTGTTAATAGATGGAGATAAGTTGACTATATGAAAATGAAGGTTAAAATAAAATTAATAGTTCGTGTCGTCTCATGTATAACTTTCCGAACGAGACGTCAAGACTACGATTCCCGGATCAAATCGAAAAATCATTTATATTGCGAATATAAAATTGTAAGCAATGTTTGGTTAAACGATAATAATAATTATGAAGATACATTACCAGCAGTCTGCACGAACTCCATAGGATCAACAGATTGGTCGCACAGGTCTCGAATCTTGGACATCGACTCCGCATATTTGGCCAGCAGCGATTTATAGTTCTCTATTACAGCCTGTAGACGAAAATAATATTTTAGAAAACATTATAATAATTATGCTATTTGATTTTAAATTAAAACCATGAAACTCATAGGTCATACCGACTAAGTATAGGGACTCTTAACGTCTACTCAATAGCTGCAGGGATCACGTGCCTGTATGAAGAGGGCGGATGCAAGGAGATATATTTAGGTCTCACTATGGATTGCTATAATAATCATTCGTCTGTGGTCATTCATAAGCACAGTACACGCCACTCTAAATAAATAGATCACCAACCTTTTTACGTTTTTGTTTAACGACTAGTAAATTAATTCGAAAATGAAAACCTGTGCAGCCTGCAATGTGCAGTTTCATGATGGCGTTCAATGCGGTAGTTGCAAGAAACACCTGGACTTTGGGTGTGCAAACATTTCTGAATCTGGGTGGAGGAAAGTGGGTTCTGCTAGAATGGCCCAATGGAAATGTCCCATGTGCAGAAGCTCATCGCCAGCTGTATCCACCCCTGAACCTACATCTCTGGATACCATACTCGGTGAGATACGTGATATGAAACGCCAGTTGCTTAACTTACCAGCACTGGTAGACGACATCCGAGCCATAAGGGATGAGTTGGCGGGACTCAAAATATCCTGTGAACGCACTGGTGGGAGACTGGATGAATTTGAAACAAGACTCACGGAAGTGGAAGAAAAGGTTTCAAAATTCGATAATCTCCATGAAACAGTAAACCGTTTGCAAACGGATTTGTCGAGCACCAAGTTTCTACAGTCAAGCAACGAACAACGTTCCAGATTGAACAACGTTGAGATTAAGGGGGTTCCAGTAAAGAAGGATGAAAATCTATTTTCTATCTTCGAAGCAATAGGAGAAAGGATTAACTACAACTGTCCAAAATCCCAGGTGAATTACATCTCAAGAGTTCCGATATTTAATTCAAACGAAAAGTTAATTATTATAAGCTTTTTAAATCGATACGTGAAAGAGGATTTTGTTGCGGCGGCGCGTGCCAATAAGGATCTATCCACTTCGGATATTGGCTTTCAAGGTTCATCTCAGCGTGTGTATGTCAATGATCACCTTAGCATTGAATACAAGAAACTCCTAAGTAAGGTTAAATCAACTGCCAAGGACAAACAGTATGAGTATGTATGGGTGAAGCATAGTAAAATACACGTACTTAAAAATAAATACTCTAAAGTAATTATTATAAGGAAGGACTCGGATTTAAACAAACTTATCTAATATGCTTCTTAAATTTAACCTTTCTATTTTGTTATTATACGTCGCTTCAATTTTCTCAATTTACTAATAACGTATTCACCATACTAAAAAGTTACAAACTGTTTAAAACCTCTGCCGCACTGGTACCTATACACTCGAATCCTCGTAATGATTTATGTTCAACTACCTGTGATCGGTATCGCGCTGTTTACTTTAAAGCTGCACGGCACCACTATCTGTTTTATTCTTTCGCACTTGCATGCACCGCGCGCTGTTGCTTGCCTTTTTGCACAAATATTAATTATTTTATAACATCGACCAACTATTGCCCTCACACAAATTTTACTAACTTTATTAAGAACTACCTTCATAACACATATTATGTATTTATATTATACCTTAAATTGCAATATTTTTTAATGGAACAATCTATTTTAATAGATTATGCGAATTTATATGCTATTAATGATAATAAATTCAATGGCTCCTAAATTAAATATTTATTATCAAAACGTTCGCGGCCTTAGAACGAAAAGTGATACATTCTATCGTCAAATGTCACTCAACTCCTATGATGTTATTGTTCTTACAGAGACGTGGTTATTGGATGGAATCTTAAATTCTGAATTCTTTGACGAACGATACATTGTGTGGCGCCGGGATCGGGACTATGTTACTACCGGGCAGTCCCGTGGAGGGGGTGTACTTATCGCCACACGCAGAGAGCTTTCGGTTGTGTGCCAACCTACGTTCTATTCTACGGCAGAGGATCTATGGTTGAGCATACGTCTGAGGGAATCGAATACGCGAAAATACACGAATCTACATATTTGCGTTGTCTATTTGTGTCAACAAAACTTGGGCCTTTCTTTTTCATTACAACTTTTAAACTACCTTACAAAATTAAATCAAATAGTCATGAGTGGCCCCTCGGATGCTTTTCTTGTTGTTGGTGACTTCAACATGAGTAGTATTAAGTGGGTGTTGTCCGAGAATCTATCTTTCATTCCTATCGACCCAGTGGGTCAAGACGAAGTTATGCTTATTGATGAATTACATACCCTCGACCTTGGTCAATACAACGGTGTTCATAATCGATATGACAAAATTCTAGATTTGGTACTTTCTAACCGATTAGTTGACGTGACCGAATGCCCAAGTCCGTTGGTTCCCATTGATGCTTACCACCCAGCACTTTTAATTGGTATAAATTTCATTGCCCCTCTATTGGAATGCGCGACTCGGACACAGTTCTTATTCGACAAGGGTGACTATGAATCTATCAACAAAGAGATTAGTACAACCAGCTGGGAATCTGAGTTTGCAACACGATCAATTGATGATTCAGTAACTTTTTTCAACCAAAACATCATTAATTTACATTTAAAACATATCCCACAGAAATTACAACGTAAAAATGCATATCCAACTTGGTACAACTCATCATTGATTAATACAATTAAAGAAAAATATAAGTATTTAAAAAAATTTAAGACTTACGGTAACGTAGCTGACGAGTTAACATTTAAGCTTCTTCGTCAAAGGGTGAAGGAGTTGGAATCTGAGTGTTATAAGAACTACCTCAACTTAACCGAAAACTCAATCAAAGTAAACCCGAAACACTTTTGGACCTTCGTTAAAAAACGACACAACTCACATGCAATTCCTAGTACCCTAAATTTCAACAATGAAATGTTGCGAACCGGAAACTCAATATGTGAGGCTTTCTCGAAATACTTCCTTTCTACTTTTCTCGATGCCAGTCCAACTTCTTATAGTGGGCCTTTCACTCCCTCAGCTGAACTTCCGGCTCGGTCCGATATTTGCAGTGTCGAGGTAAGCGAGGATGAGGTTTCCAGGTTACTTCGTAAACTGGATACATCTAAAGCAGCGGGCCCTGATAACATTTCATCCAAATTTCTTGTACGGTGTGTAACGTCAATTACCCGGCCCATTACTATTTTATTTAAGAAGTCTCTAGATTGTTGCATTGTGCCCAAACTTTGGAAATCGGCATTTATAACACCAATTCATAAAAAAGGAGTAAAAACTGAAATAATTAATTACAGACCAATTTCTAAACTATGTATTATAGCAAAAATCTTTGAAAGAATTATCTACAATCAGGTATATAGTGCACTCAATAACTCTTTTAGTTCTTTCCAACACGGTTTTTTGAAAGGAAGGTCCACCGTCACTAACTTAATTCTTCTTAATGATTTCATTACTGATGCTATGGACAGGGGTGGGCAGGTCGATGTCGTTTATACAGACTACAGTAAAGCTTTTGATCGAATTCAACATGAAATATTATTATCTAAGATGGATAGTGTGGGAATACGTGGTGATCTACTCAGATGGTTTTCCTCGTATCTGAGAAACCGGTCTCAAGCAGTAGTATTAAGTAATTATATGTCTGGTTGGGTACCTGTCCCCAGTGGAGTTCCGCAGGGTTCTTTGCTCGGCCCATTACTCTTTATCATCTATATAAACGACATTGATTCATGTCTGATCTCATCAAAGTTACTGTGTTTTGCCGATGATATGAAAATCTTTTCAAAAATATCATCACAGACCGATGTGGCTGCGTTACAGGTTGACCTGTGTCGACTGGAAGCTTACTGTCGCGAGCGTAGGCTGGATCTAAATCCCTCAAAATGTTCGGTGGTGACATATTCCCGAAAGCGCACTAATATAGTTGCATCATATACCTTGGGAGATCAAACACTTCCTAGATCAGATATCATCCGAGATCTGGGGGTTCATCATGACACTAAGCTCACTTTTGAGGGTCATGTTAATGCCATTGTTGCTAAAGCTTCAAAGTCATTGGGCTTCATTATGCGACTATCTAAGTGCTTCACTCAATCAAAAACTTTAAAAATTCTATACTGTACTTTTGTTAGAAGTCACTTGGAATATGCGTCTGAAGTGTGGAACCCGTGTTATCACAAGTACATTGATCGTATTGAAAATATCCAGAGGAAATTCATCAAGTATCTGTGCTATCACCAGGGTGTCCCATACCGGTCTGAAGATTACTACAGTCTCTGTAAGAAATATCACATCCTACCGCTTAAGGACCGCCGAGCAATAAGAGATTGTACCCTATTAATTAAAATCTTAACAAATAATATTGACAGTTCCGATATTCTAGCGAGATTGTTTCTCAATGTTCCTGGAAGGTCGAGGAGATGGTTTCCACCGCTACGTGTTCCATCCTCCTCTACCAACTATAGGCAAAACTCGTATTTTGTGCGTGCAATTAAGGAATTTAACAGCGTGTGCAAGCAGCATGATTTTGACCTTTTTAATATTAAAGTGTCTACGGTCAGGAGGTGCCTGAGTCTTTCTTTTTTTATGTAGTAACATAATAGGGAACGCGATTGAACTTATGTTTTGCGAGGTAATTTGTCTGTGTAGTATTCAGATGTGTAGTAGTAGGTATATATTAGTAATTTAGTACTTTGTTTCTTTTTATTTTGTTTTTGTTTGTTTTTATTATTATAATAATTTTGTAGGGAGTACTGTGTCGACCACATTCTTTTATAGTATTAGTTTGTTTTTTATATGTGAAGACTTGTCATTGGCTGTCAGACTCTCACACAATTTCTTAATTTTTGTTTTGTTAGCTGTTAGTCTTCCAAAGTTGTTAAATAAATAAATAAATAAAAATAAATAAAAAATAAAAACTCATTTACAAACTTTTTTTTATGGCATAAGCCGGTAAACGAGCTGACGGATCACCTGATGATAAGCAATCGGCGTCGGGAACACCAGAGGCGTTAATACTGCGTTACCGGCCATTTGGGAATTGGGAATTTGAAGATTGTGGGGAATTTGGGAGGGGGTAGTTGGGCCTCCGGTCACACATTGGGGGCTCCGCAGCTGGTACTTTCTGAGGCCTCCGTATCTTTATAGATGCTGAATGCGGGTGATGAACACCGGTTTTTAAGTAAAGTAAGAGTCCCCTAAATCCTTTGAATGTTTCCACCAAAAACAAAAAAGGTTTTAACTGACCTTGTCATCAGGACGTGCAATCCTTTCCTGAGCAGCTTTCACAAGCATCGGTGCTAGCAACTCGGTCTGAAAAGAAACAGAAGGTAATCATTTTCTCTACACCCCTTCTGTTCCTGCGAGTGACATAATAGCCGAGGCTATAAGGCCGTCTCTCTCATTTTACTAAGAACTTGTAGTGACAGAACTATATTTAAGCGCGAATTTAGTTCTTTCCACAATAAGATCGGCGAAGCGTCACCGATTCATGGTAGATGTCCCATCCACACTCACAAAGCGCTTCGCATCAAGCTTCCTTGTGCGTACTGCTAAGGAGTGGTATTCTTTGCCAGCTTCTGTATTTCCTGAAGGGTATAACTTGGATGTCTTCAAGGTTCGAGTGAATAGGTTACTTATGAGACGACGTGCTCCATCGTAGACCGTATCATCGCTTACTACCAGGCGAGATAGTGGTCAAACGTCGGCCCATCAAACATAAAAAAAAAAACTGAAAATGTAGTGGCGTTTGAGTATTTCAGCGTAAGAGACTACTTATTTTTTTAAAAAGGTGTCGTTTATTAACAGCTAGCTTCTGCCCGCGACTTCGTACGCGCAATTCCGATATTTCCCGCAGCCGTTCTTGATTTTCGGTTAAAAATAAAAAAAAAGTATTGGGTAAAAAGTATCATATGTCCGTTTCCTGGTTCTAAGCTACATCCTCACCAATCTTCATCCAAATCGATATAGCCGTTCTTGAGTTATAAATAGTGTAACTAACACGACTTTCTTTTATATATATAGATATCTAATAAACCTGAAACCTTTTAAACCGCCTTTTATTTATGTAGAGGAGGCTCGTATCAGTAGTGTCCTCGAGTGACGAGTGCCGACGGTAGTACCTGTTGGCTGCAGTGGTGGATGTCGCCGGCGCGGTGTGCGTGTGTGTGTGCGACGAGGCGCGCGGTGCCGGTCACTCTGCCCAGCTGTGCCAGCAGCTCTGCTATCTTTTTCTCCAGCATAAACTTGCGTTTCGACTCGTCTAAGTAAAGTATAATTATGTCAGCTCATGTACAGCTTAACAGAGGACAAAGATGTTTTATAAAGACTACAAGCATTTGTGTAATAATTTTCACATTTATTTTTATGGCATAAGCCGGTAAACTAGCAGACGGATCGCCTGATGGTAAGCAATCGGCGTCGCCCATGGACACCTGGAACACCAGAGGCGTTACAAGTGCGTTACCGGCCTTTTGGGGATTAGGAGTTTGAGGATCGTTGGAAATTCAAGAATTGGGAAGATTGGGGAAGGGGGAAGGGTAGCTGGGCCCTATCATTGTAATGATGGAATTGGTCAACAGTATCAACTAACCTTGTTCATACTCAGCAATGAGGTCGAGGTCAGCCAGAGGTTCCTCTGCCTGCATAAAGTCCTGCACCAACTTGGAGACCACTCCTCGCGACACTCCCTTCTTCAGCTCTCGGACACGCTCCAGTAACACACTGACAAACATATAATAATCAGTAAAAAGTTTATTTAGATTTGGCATAACTGAAAGTTAGCCGTACACTTTATTCTGTTCATTTTCGAACCGTTTAAGGATATTTTATAAATACCATTTTTCTCAAACCGAACCATAAATGCCGGAGCAATACAGTAACATAGGTAACTTACCTATAAAAATCACGATCGAATTGAGTGACCTCCTATCTTGAAGTCAGCTAATGCAACCTAGCAAAGTTAAACACCCGAAAACAATTCGTACCTGTACTGTTCCTGGTCATATTTCTGACTGCATTCCTTCAGCAGCTGTTCAGTTTCCACTATCAGGTTCTTCATGTCTTCCTTGTCAGAGCCTTGCAGATCCTCTGCTACCTATAAAATAAGAATAATATAACTATTTGGAACCATCAATCTCTTTCCTATCTCTCTTCAGTTTGCCACCTCTTCACTTTCCATGGGTGACAGAAGAATAGATAAAGGAACCACACATTTAACAGAGATTGGCTTCAAGCGCTCTCTCATAAACCTGAACTGTGAGTTCAAACTCTGCCAGGTGTGGAAACAATGGCTAACATCACTTTTGTAGAGGTGAGTCCAATAGTGGTATAGTGGAATACCAAACTTAGCTCATTTTATGAGACACCGTCACAACCTCCCGAATGTGCAATTTCTGTGCACTAGGACCTACAGTAGATACAACCATAAAAACACCGGAACACCGAAGTCCGGCGCGTCCAAGAGACATGAATGACTGTTATGGTTTTCAGCTCACTCACGTAAGCATTCCGCTATTTCGCGCAGTCGCCGCACGTATAATGCTACTCATGAATATGAGCCTCTAGCATGGCTTGAAACTAGTCGAGTTCCTTGTCGAAAAATTACGTGAGTAAGCCGAAAAAGATAATAATAATTTAGTATGTCTCACGAAAGATATATAAATATGAATGATATCTTGGATCGCAATAAGTAATAAAATAAAATATTGCAAAATTACTTGACTGTTTACATAACATAACATCACGCCTTTTATCCCCGAAGGGGTAGGCAGAAGTGCACATTATGCCACTGCACGATGTAACACCCACTTTTCACTATTTATGTTATGACTCCCGTGTAATAGGGGGTGAGCCTATTGCCATATACCGGGCACAGTTCCAGACCCCTTGCCCGGCAGTCGCACTTGCGACCACTCGGCCAACGTTGACTTGACTGACTTTAAGTTACTAAAAATCAGCTTACCTTATTGGCGACGTCTACGAGGTTGCGCACTGCCTCCTGTCCCTTTGACTTGACCTCCGGCTTGCACATCGGCTTCGAAAGCCATTTGGATGCTAAGTCGAACCTGTTACAGCATTACATTTAATAACTTAATTTCCTTCCATATCGGTTTCAGCTACGGCAACCGTTTCAGGACTACATAGCGTGAAATGCATTTCGTTTTCGTCTCTCTCTCTCTGCCCTAAGGAGAATTTTCCAAGTATAAAGCAGAAACCAAAAAAATAAAGTTGTTTAAAAACTTGAGGATTTGTCTTAGTGGGTGCTCAGGTGCGTGAAATGAAGTTCGACACACGATTGAACTGTAAACTGTATAATATTTGAAGGAAATGTTAAACTAAATATAAACAAGGTTTCACAATAAAACAAAACTCAAAATATTCGCGGCACAAATATGAGGCGTGTGCGTCGCGGCTCCGGCGCGGAACTCGTTGTTCTGTTTCTTTCACGCAAGCGTCGAGCGGTCAGTGGCGGGGAAGCAGGGGAAGAGGAATAGAGAGGTGGCGTGTTGCCACTAGAGATGCGCGCGTGCGTCCGACACAAACCAAAATCGAATTGCCGCGTTACAGTTGTCTTTTATTTGTCGTGACAAAAAAATCGTGTAAATACGCACATGAAACAATATACCTTTGGTAAGCACTGCACGCATCGCACGTGCCTTCCGACGAAAAATACCCCTTCAAGAATTACATGATGTTTTGATAATATACTTAGTATGAGTTCGTATGCGCTTTTTTGCTTCTTCACCAGTTATTTTTTGTTTTAAACATTTTAGTTCTTTGTAAAACTAACATAACATAACATCACGCCTTTTATCCCCGAAAGGGTAGGCAGAGGTGCACATTATACCACTGTGCAATGTAACATCCACTTTTCACTATTTATGTTATGAGTCCCATGTAATAGGGGGTGAGCCTATTGCCATATACCGGGCACAATTCCAGACTCCGTGCTACTACTGTGAATATTTAAAAACCCAGTAATACTTTGCCCGACCCGGGAATCGAACCCGAGACCCCTTGCCCGGCAGTCGCACTTACGACCACTCGGCCAAAGAGGCAGCAAAAACTATTGTATTACTAAGACAGAACTATTTTACTTCGGGACGAAAACGAAATAGATTTCACGACATAAGATCATAATTAGCATTCCTCGTATTTGCACTGAGCTAAAAGGTGCTCTTTATTTAATAAGCCAGAAAAATCAAAATATTACTCACTGTGTTTCCACATAACTCTTCTTGTCTTCCTATAAATAAAAACATTGAGTTTAATTGTAATACTTAATCAGACTAATTCAGATAGACCTTACGATGATCAATTTACCTCTGGTTCCTCAACTGCAGCTTCTAGAAGATTGACACGTTGCCCACTGGCCCTAAAAAATTATAAAATGATAATTGTTTAAACCTCCTTCCTTTATTACGTTGCTATGCTAATATCGTTTGTTTGTTTTTAATACAACGTTGCCTACACAAGGATTTTCTCCTGTGTCGTGGATGCATTTACAAACATAGAAGTACACATACTCATGACACCCAGGCCCTGAACAACGATTTGTGGATCACACAAAGAGTTCTTCCGTGCAGAAATCGAACCCGCGACACGTAGCGCAACAGCCGGTACCCCAGCCACCACACCAACCGTGCTGAGTATTTTAGGTATTATATTTTGTGTACATATTCTTTGTTAGTTTCTTTTGAGTTTTTCATAATTTACACGTTGTTTATAAGTGTATAATAATGAAAATGGCAGAACAAAGTTGGCGAAACTGTAACAACCAAAACGTTACCCAAAGATCTCCACAATCTATGACAGCACGGTAGATGGAATGGTAAAGACCGCTTTTTTATATTTGATGGGCCGTCGTTGCGGTCTACGATGGAGCACGTCGTCCCATAAGCAACCTATTCACTCGGGCCTTGAAGACACCCAGGAAATACAGGAAATATCGTCACTTACTTACAGGAAATACCCTTCAGGAAATACAGACTGGCAAAGAACTATACAACTGGTACTCACTTGACACTCCTGAGAAGATTCTCGAATGCATCCAGTACATCCTTCCTCTTGTTGAACATCACCCACTTCATGGTCTCCGGCTCCTCAGGGGCCGCCTTCACTTGTTTCACCAGCTCCTCCGTATTTGATAGAAGGGTGCTAGAAGTAAATATTTTACAACGAATTAGTTTCTCAATTAATATTATTTTTTAATTAATATCTTAAGTGTGGGAGAGCCTTACTTCGTCACGAATAGGCCGCCTCAACCGGAGTGATACCACGGCCTCACAGAACACCGACGTGAAGCAACGCTTGCATTGTGTAACGTCATGTGATTGAGGTCGCCGGAGGCCCAGTTACCCCCATCTCCCCAATCCCTGAATCCCCAACAATCCTCAAAATCCTAATCCCCAAAAGGCTGGGAACGCATTTGTAACACCACTGGTGTGCCAGGTGTCAAATGTCAGGTGGTTCCAAATACCCAAGTCACCAACTGACTTAAGTACTCAAGTCACCAACCAACCAAAAATCATATCAGTATACTCACAGTGAATTCTTGACAATCTCGTCAACGTGTTTCTGGGTATCAGCAGAGATTTCAGTGGCGACTGGCACCAGATCAGGGTGTTCCACCAAGGAGGCAACATTGCTCACGTCGTGCATCAAATCTGCTACCTTTGATGTTATCACCACCTGTAACGACAATGTTATTTCTAATAATAATTTTGAAACTGCCAACTCGCATTTAGTAAGCGTGTTGAGTAATGCTCAAACATGGCTCAAACATAGCTCAAACCTTCTCCGTGAGAGAAAAGGCCTTTGGTCAGCGGTGGACACTGATAGCAAATGGTAAAATATAATTTCATGCATGAGAGGACGCTATTTTTTATGGCATAACCCGGTAAACGAGCAGTCGGATCACCTGATGGTAAGCAATCGGCGTCGCCCATGGACACCTGGAACACCAGAGGCGTTACAAGCGCGTTATCGGCCTTTTGGGGATTAGGAGTTTGAGGATCGTTCGGGGTTCAGGGATTGAGGACATTGGGGAAGGGGAGGGTAATTGGGCCTCCGGTAACCTCACTCACATGACGAAACACAACGCAAGCGTTGCTTCACGTCGGTTTTCTGTGAGGCCGTGGTATCACTCCGGTCGAGCCGGCCCATTCGTGCCGAAGCATGGCTCTCCCACAGCGATAACAAGCTATACTTCGGCACGAATAAGCTAGTTCAATTGTAGTGACAGCACGGCCTCACGGAAAACCGACATGAAATTGAAGTTTTAATCGTGATAGTGAGGTTACTGGAGGCACAATCACCCTCTCTTCTCCATTCTCCAAAAGCCACAAACTGGAGAAGTTAGGTATTTCAGGCTTCATGAGTACCAGCGATTGCTTATTAGCATGATAACCTAACGGATTACCAGTACCTGGATAACCATCAGCTCTCATACCCACCTTCTTAGTGGTATTTATTATCTCTTCTCTTCTGGTTTCATGATAAACCAGATACTCAAGTAAATAGCTGCAGAACATACCTTGTTTTCAAATTCATATTCTATGGCTTCCTCCAGCCTATGATGAGAGTTCAACAGGTCATTGGTGCACTCTTTCAGCATCTCTTTCAGTTCTCCTTCCTTGGTCTTCTCCACGGCGTCCTTCATGGTGTCCTCCAGATCCTTCATTTGGCTCTTGAGAGTCTTTTTCTCTTCAGCCACCTGTAATAAAACCATAATAAGTGTGTATGTTTGAGGAACCGATAAACAGCTAATATTTTTCATAGTAGAGGGCAGCAAAGAAACAGATGGATCACCTAATGATAAGCCATCCGCCGCCCATTGGCATTTTAGGGATTGGAGATTTGGGGAAGTAGGGTATTGCTGATTGGAAATGGAAGATCAGTAATAAATGAACCAACGAAACATCGAAACAATATAAGAAATAATTGTATTTTGATTCTGATTGAAAAAGAGTAACCGCTGGAGTGTTTTGCCCGTTGTTCTCCATAGAAATCTACACTATGGAACGAGCAAATAGCTTCACTAGAGGACTGACCGATAGACGGACATTTTTAAAATTTCAATTTTTTGTTTTGACGTACAAAAGTGCTTTCCAGGGCGCTTACACTTGAAACCAATCTCAATGTCATTGCAATGTCAATCCAATAAAATCCCAATAATTATTGAATGTTAATACTATACAACCCGTATCGTAGCTGTAAAAATAGAATTCAGATACGGACTATAAAGCCAAACGCAATACCATTTAGTTCGTTCAATGTCCACGCAATACGGATGCAATGGGCGCTAGGGTTGCAACTCAAGAGTAGGTACGAAATTTCACAATACCAATGTCAATCAATTGGAATTGGATTCAAGAGTAAGCCCCCTGGTCTAATTAAAATGAGAACTGGGCCCTATTAAATAAATTAAAATTATAAAATAGTAACATCACGCCTTTAATCCCCGAAGGGGTAGGCAGAGGTGCATATTATGCCGCTGTACAATGTAACACCCACTTTTCACTATTTATGTTACGAGTCCCATGTAATAGGGGGTGAGCCTATTGCCATATACCGGGCACAATTTCAGCCTTCGTGCTACTACTGAGATTTTTTTAACACCCAGTAATACTTTGCCCGACCCGGGAATCGAACCCGAGACCTCTTGCCCGGCAGTCGCACTCAGTCAACGAGGCGGTCTATAAAATAGCCTGTACACTTATATAAAATATCATTTATAACGTTCTAACCTGTATATCATCATTAGTGGTGATTATAGAGATGCAGGTGTCTTCGACCGCTTGGATAGCCTTCTGCAGCTTGCCTACGTCCACCGGGCCCTTCAGACCAATTGACTTATCTTGGTCTGATACTGATATCTGCGAATAGAAGAACAACGAAATTAGACTCTAATGCCAGTTGGATAGGGATAATGTCCAATTACTTACAGTTTTAGATACATACAGTTTATATGAAATCAAGGTCAATTTATTATTCTAAATATACGTTACAAGTAATCTTTCAGCATAGATGTTCTTTTACGTAGTGGAATTCTTTGCCAGGGTCTTTATTACCTGAAGCTGACCTCCAAGGCTATAAATTGTACATAAGTGGTTTATGGTCAGGCGAGCTGTATCGTTGGCCATTCACATCACACACATCAACAGCCTATAAATGCCCACTGCTGAGCAAAGCCTCTTCTCACACGGAGAAGATTTGAGCATTAATCACCACGCTTGCTCAATGCGGGTAGGCGGTTTCAAACTTATAATTAGAAATTATAAGCCCAGGTTTCCTGACGGTGTTTTCCTTTACCGTTTGTCAGTAATCTTATAAAATATATATAACTAGGAAAAAGTCACATTGGTACTTGCCGTTGGTAGGTTTCGAACACGCACCCTCATGCATGAGAAGCGGGCGTCTTAACCTTCGAGCTACCACTACACTCATTTAGTTATTATGTGCCATGGCGTTAGTCATTGTGTACCATCCTTACTAATATTATAAATCGGAAAGTGAGTTTGTTTGTTTGTTTGTTCCGCTTTCACGCCGTAACTACTAAACCGATCGCTTTGAATTTTTGCAGATGTATAGTTAGAAGTCCGGATTAAATAATAGGGTACTTTTTATCCCGGAAAAATTTGATATTACCGAGGGAAAACAAAAGGCTTTTTATCCTTTTGTGACGCGAGCGAAGCCGCGGGTAAAAGCTAGTGAACAATAAACAAGAGCTTGTTAAAGGAAAATGAAGTATGTCTGACCAGGTAGGCAGCCTGAGCAGCGCACTCCGCACTGTTGTTGACGGCAGTCACTGCGTAGTTCATGCTCTTCAAGAACTCCTCGCGAGACATCGCTTCGTCACTGTTCAGTTTCTCTGTTTAATAATAAATAACATAATTAATCACTAAAAACAAACAACGGGCAAGGGGACTCGGGTTTGATTCCAAGTTCGGGCAAAATATTACTGGGTTTTTTTATAAAAATATCTCGGTAGTAGGAAGGAGTCTGGAATTGTATCTAGTATATGGCAATAGGCTTACCCCCTATTACATGGGAGTCATGGGATGTAAATAGTGAAGAGTGGGTGTTACATTGTACAGTGGCATGAAGTGCCGTAATGTGCACCTCTATCTACCCCTTCGGGAATAAAAAGTGTAATATTATGTATGTAAATTCAATAGCGGAATTAATACTATATTTATTTTCTGTAGTGATTAATTTACTATGGATTTACGCAAAGTAATGCCTTAATCTATTTTGTAAATCAAAGAACTTTTAAACAGAGTCCATTAATAGCTGTGTGGGTACTAACGCAGCACGTCTCGTTGCGACTGCATGGTGTGCAGGCTGAGTGCGTAGGACGAGGCGGCGGGCGGGCGCGGCGCCGCCTGCAGCATGCCGCGGTGCAGCGCCAGGCTCCTCCCTGCCTCGCCGCAAGCTCGGCCCACCGACGTCTTCTGCCCTGTACCTGTACTACGCACCTACGTAGAGATAGAGATAAAGATCGTTTTATAAGTGTGTCATGAGTATAGAAGGCACAAGTACAGTCATGGTAAGCCATTATGACGTATGAATTATATAGAAAAAAAATGTTTTAACACAAAATTAATTAACACTTACTTACATAATACATGAACTAATGAGAGTAACACAGAAAAGGTAATCGAAATAATAAAGCCAATGATGAACATGTCCAACAAGAAGCTCACAACTGTCAATTCAATTTGCAAATGATATTTATTTTAAATTAAATTGTACCTATGTTGTAATGTATATAAATAAACAAGTCATCATCAGTACATGGCCAACATTTCCTACTGTAACTTGTTTTCACGAAAATCACTTGAAAATTTAACTAACTTTTGCGGAACCGTAAACTTTACATTTGAGACGTTTATTAGATGCATATCTATTATTTTACTAAGTAAAAATGTGTTGATAAGACCCCAGCCTTGCAGAAAGTTTAAAAATAAAAATTACATTGAGGCCTTCGACAGTTCTTTTTTAGAGCATATCGGGAAAACTGCTGAACAAAACGAAAATTGGTTACTTAACTTTTGAACCATGCTGCAAGGGACATCCTAAAGGTATAATATTATTATATAGTTAAGACTTAAGTAAAACAAACCAGTTTGTTGATGGAGTCGTTGAGATGACGGCACGCTTCCAGCAGCTTCCTCTTGGAGTCGTGATGATTTGGTTCCTAGAAATTAAACTGTGTGTAATAACTATTCTAAGACTTACTAATAACTAAAATCAGTTTGTTGCGCGAGGTTGCGCTGCATGAGCAGCATGTACAAACTTTGAAATTAAGAGTCCCAATGTGACTCGAATCCAGTAGAGCTTTTCTCAAAAATCACTTGAGTAAACCATAATTTTACTTAACACTAAGGTGACCTCAATATTACCTGACAGACTAGTTCAGAAGTCTTCATCAGGCTGTAGGTAGAAAGACACATCTCATGTGCAGCATCCTCGATCAATTTACATTGAGCTGGTCTCTGAAATAGGAGAACAGTTATACTTGACCTATTTTCTTCTTAACAACGTTTCAATAAATTTAGAGGTCGTTTGTTTATTTCAACATGCTAATCTTCGGAATCTGCTGGATAGTCTATCTATTGACAAACGTTACAGGTCATATAAGACATCAGAAGAACAATAGATGAAATCCTGTGGGAGCAGTTACTTTGTCCAAATTAGTCTGAGAATCCCCACTGTTCATACCTTTCTATCAGCCAATGCGCGTGCAGTGTTGGCGAGCTGCACAGCAGCCTGTGCAGCAGCGTGCAGGCTGCGCGCCAGGCTGCTGGGGGTGCTCACGCTCAGCACCACCGTGCTGCCCATCGAACTCAGCTTTGACGACAACTGCTGCAGTTTCTCTTCCAGTTGCCTGTACGAATCCATCATAATCATCACTGTTATATCAACTACAAGACGTCCACTGCAGAACATAGACTAAGAGAAAATTATTGAATGACTTCTGGGTGAGGCGGGAGGGAGTGTCAGGCTCTTACTGACTAAAAACCACATTGTTCCTACTCCTGTACTTCGAGCCGGAGCCCGGTAACCTTTTACGTTCTCCGCGGCTCCGTAGACTTCCCCCATTGACTTCCAGATAGGCCGGTTGGAAGCGGCCTTTACTAATTCATCCATCCACCTTGCGGGTGGACATTGTACGCTACGAATGCCGAAACGTGGTTTCCATTCGAGAACCAACAAATTAGGGTACTATAATGCGAATAATTATTGTCATCACTTCGTCGTCTTCCCGCAAATGTCGTAAGGGCTGACTTAGGTACTTCAAATTTAACAAAGGCCAGGTAGCAGTGCTGTTCAACCCGCCTACCTGCCAAGCATGGTCATTATGGCAAACGAGGAGTTTATAGAATATGCCCATAGCCCAGCAGTGGACTGTCATAGTCCGGTTTACCTAAGTAAAATTCTACTGATAATTGTTCCTTTATCTTCTATATAAATAAAAATGAATCTCCGTTCGTTAGTCTCACTAAGACTCGAGAACGGCTGAACCGATTTGGGTAATGTTGGTCTTGAAATGTTCTTGAAAGTCCAGGGAAGGTTTAAAAGATGAGAAAATAAATGTTGGCGGTACGAAGTTTGCCGAGTCAGTTAGTATTGACATAATTTCTACTATTACTACAAATCTTAAATTATTTAATACATGAAAACAAGCCCTCTACCTTTTGTCAGAAATTTAATTACCCCGCGAGGGTATATAGTTTGGACAGCCCTGACCTACAAAATAAAGGTGAGACACTTACTTGGGAGTTCCCTCTACAGTTTCTCGTGGGCATATTAGCAGCCTATCGATATCGTCGCTGTTCAGTACCTGAGTCGATACCTTCCTTGGGTAGAGCTTGTAGTCCAGCTCATTTAGTTCCTGAAATATAATGGAAACAGTTTCATTCCAAAAGGAAAACTAAATGGTGTGAATTACATTGTACTGTATTGTAACCAAGTATGGAATTTGAGAATTTATGGTTGACAGTCATTATGTTGCGTGTGACAGTGATCTACCCATGAGGCAAACATATATTTACTCAGTCAAATAAGGCGACGTGGCGCAGGTTTTTAAACCAACTTGGAAATCATTTTGATATGTATCGAAACAACTAAACCGATTTTATCTGACTGGCCACCCAAGTTCTTCAGTAGATACCAGGCATCCTCTTAAACCTAAGTAGCCTAAACGCTTCCAAAATCGCCTGGCGTAAAGATTGATGCATAACATAACATCACGCCTTTTATCCCCGAAGGGGTAGGCAGAAGTGCACATTATGCCACTGTAAAATGTAACACCCACTTTTCACTATTTATGTTATGAGTCCCATGTAATAGGGGGTGAGCCTATTGCCATATACCGGGCACAATTCCAGACTTCATGCTACTACTGAGAATTTTTTAAAAACGCAGTTGTAATTTGCCCGATCCGGGAATCGAGACCCCTTGCCCGGCAGCCGCAGTTGTTGGCCGACCAAGGAGGCAAGATTGATGCACAGTAAACGTATTTAAGCTAGAGATAAATAAAATACAAACCTTTAGGCATTTGTTTGCTTTTGGGTTGGGTTCGTAGGCCGCTATTCTCATACTCATTTTGCAAGCACTTGTAATCCTGTCTGTCCAGTCCACTATGCTACTCAAATTCGCTCTGTAGCTGTAAAATAAATCATCACAATATTCCTTACTAGCTAAAATACAATATAGTATAGTGTGTTACGGATGATGACTTTTTTTAGTGTATTTTAAGAATCTAGCCTTGATCAATGTCTGGAGTCCTGGCCTCATAGAAAACCGGAGTAAAACAACGCTTGCGTTGTATTTCGCCGATGGAATGAGGTTATCAGAGGCCCAATCCCCAAATCAAATGGCTTATCAACAGGCCGTGAAAGCACTTGTAACTCGAGTGGTATTGCAGGTGTTCATGAACGGCGCCGAATGCTTACCATCAGGTAATCCGTCTGCTTGGTTATCCATCCTTAAATTTTCAAAGGTGTATGAAATGAAGAGAACTCTTTAAATCAGAAAGGGAGCCGATCTATTTAGATTGATTCCTATAAGAGCTGATGATGACCATCAATATAGTGTAAATGATGTAACGACCAGTCCAATTGGTTCTGGAGAGAAAGATGAAGGAGTATGTCCTTCATCTTTCTCTTCAGAACCAATTGCACGGTTGGTGCGGTGGCTGGGCAACTGGCTGCCGTGCAACGTGTCGCGGGTTCGATTCCCGCACGAGACAACACTTTGTGTGATCCACAGATTGTTGTTGTTTCGGGTCTGGGTGTCATTGTGTATGTGAACTTGTATGTTTGTAAACGCACCCACGACACAGGAGAAAATCCTAGTGTGGGGCAACGTTTTTTTAAAAAAATTAAAAAAAAAAACAATTGGAGGCTTAAAAAAAGACACTAACATATTCTCCTTAACGACATGTTCCTCCAATTCCTCAGGTACTTCTTCGACTTGTTCCTTGAGCGTGAAATTTTTAGGGACTTGCTCAACTTGTTCCATCACTTTCGGGGCTTGGTACTCTTGTGCCATCGCCATCGCGGGAGTTTCTGCAGCGCTGGAGACTGCATAGTGCGTGACGGCGCGCACGAGCTCGTGTGGCTCGCCGCGCGCGGCGCGCTGCCCGGCCGCCACCAGCCGCGAGCTGGCGCGGGCCAGGCAGCACTGGGAGCCCAGGGTACTCGCGTATGACTAGTACAAACAAATTATAAAGCTATAGCGAAAACCAAAGAAAAAGGTATCATAAATATCGATTGCACTACCAAGACAAAATCACTCAGCTGCTGGAAAGTAATCATGATCGTTTGTAGTGTAATTCATAAACCTAGATTTTTTTTATTCAGAAATAGTAATTACCTACTTAAACTAGCTGCGATCTTCAGGCCATGCTAATCGATTAATGGTAACCAACCCAAAGAAGGCTAGAGTCAAAGAGTAACGATGGAGTTTCTTGCTCGTTCTTCTCCATTCGAATCTACATTTTGGAATGAGCACCTAGCTTCATCTAATTTCACTGACAGACTATTATTTATTTTGTATTTGTTGACGTACCGTGTTCAAAAGTACCAAACTAAGGTTTCATTGAAATAAATGCTTTGACTTTGACTTGACTTTGTTCTACTTCTTCTTCTTCTTCTTCTTGTATTTTGCTGTGGCCGAGAGGGTCCATAATTGTATGTCAGTGAACTTAGCTGATCATTGTCCAGCAGATCAAAAATAAATGAGAGTTCTCATTGCATGCAGCTAAGTTCTATAGTTCCTGACACCTTTTAGAAATAGTTCCGGCGTTTTTACCTTAAAAAAAGACAATTAAAAAAATGATCTGCCAACTTCCGGCAGCAGATCAATTTCTAGCAAATCATAAATAAACGTCAGTTCTTACTACATATAAGTTAGTTCTACAGTTCCTGATAATTTTTAGAAATAGTTCTGGCGATTTAACCTTAAAAAATTCAATTGAAAAAAAAAATCCATCATACCAATTTCAGCACTTCAAATGATATTGTAAAGGGCTAC